TATCGTATAGGTCGTATAGGACTAAGCGCACGGTGTAAACGTAGTCAATGAACTTCGTCTATGGCTACGTTTACACCGTACATTTAGGCCGCGGCCTATACAATAGACGTCCTTGTTTATCCTGTATATTAAACTAATGTCCGTATTCATAGTAAGGCCTTATATTTAAGGCTTTCTTAAATTTATCTTCAGATACTCTACGAATTATTTCATTGGCTACTGAGCATCTAAAGATAAATTTAAGGAAGCCTTAAGTATAAGGTCTGACTACGAATACGGGCAAAAGACACCTATCGTATAGGTCGCGGACTAATCGCACGGTGTAAACGTAGCCTATATAATGATGTTATAGGTGAAGGCTGCGTTCCGTTTCACGCATGATGCATCATTTATCCTTATTATTCACCGAATGTTAAACAAGGATAAATGATGCATCATGCACATCATGTGTGAAAAGGAATGCAGCCGAAGTTTATTGGGTGAAACATCAGGTTAAGCTTAACCACAAGTTAATTAGGTAATGAAAAATTGGGCCTTGTATATAAGGATGCGATCCATTTAACGCTGCAAATACTTCGTTGATCAATCAGAAGAAAAAATTTTGCGAATTGACCAATCAAAGAATACTTCAAAGTATTTGCAGCATAAAGTGGATAATCTTCTGTCGCTCTTATCATTTTATCCATGTTGTTCATCTAATATTAACAAGGATAAGATGATACATGGGGGATGTTTCCGAACGCAGCCTAGGGCGCGATAGAGAGATATCATGTTATCCTTGTTTAATATTTAGTGTGCAACAAGGATAAAATGACACCTGGGTGACACTCGGATGGGAATCTGAACGCAGTTCAAATTGTAAAACTCTCGAAGTAGAAATCGGAGCAGTTTACGTGAAATATTTCGGAACAAATTGTGTGGAATCGGAGCAACATAATTTATGATAATTAAGTATACAAGAATAATTAAAAACAATAAATAAAGGGTAAAGTAAGAGTCAAACCCATTATAAATATAGTTTGAAATTAGTAAACATAATTAGAGAAAATAAATTAAGTTAAAATCAGTCTGAATATAATTATAAAACATAAGTATATAAGGCTCGGAGCGATTCAGTATATAATAATGTGCGAACACGGACTCGAATTTGTAAATCTGTGATTTATAGAATTCGGAGTAATTAGCGAAGAGGAGAAAACATGGTACAGTAAATTTCATTCATATAAGTCGAAGATCAAGAATATTCGATTTCACCATGCTGGAAGAACATAACCGTACTTTTTAGTGCGATTGAAAATGGAACGTGATAAAGAATATTTTCGTCATCTACTACTTTACTGCTTTGATTCGAAGAAAACGGCTGCCGAAGCTCACCGATTCATCTCAGAAACTTATTCTGAATCTGCTCCATCAGTTAAAACGTGTGAGTACTGGTTTCGACGATTTAAAAGTGGTGATTTTGATTTGAAAGACAAAGAGCGTTCAGGTCAACCAAAAAAGTTCGAAGATGCCGAATTGCAGGCACTGTTGGATGAAAATCCAGCACAATCCACTTCAGAACTTGCCAGAGAATTAAATGCTGATCGTACAACAGTTACTAAACGTTTACGTGATATGGGAAAAATTCGAAAAGAAGGCAAATGGGTTTCACGCGAATTGTCTAAATTAGCTATTCGAAATCAAAAAGGAAAAGAGAGAAAAAAAATAAAAGAAAAAATTCGAAGAAAAGTGTAGAAGGTGCACGTAAAAGGAACAGATATCCTTCGTAGGTTATGTTGTGACGAGTTCGAGTGCGTGAGTTGTATCTTGCTGCGTCTTGTTTCATCCTAAAAACTTACGCAAAATACTTGAGGAATTAGTGCGGTAGAACATTAACCGAAGTAGCTTAATTGATAATACACTCGGCTGTAAAAAAAAGAAACTGTTGCGATAATAATTGGATCTTGCGGAGGTTATGACGTTACTTTGCGATCTGCCACGGTCATCCGACGGTCTCGGGGACTCGTGACATGCGGTGCACGCTCCCGACGAAGATGGAGAAGTCGAATTCGAAAGAATCCATCAGCTTGCTCGATATGCTGTCGGAAAGCGATTCCGACAGCACTGACCTGATCCTCGCTCCTCAGAAAAAGAAGAAAGTCAAACGGTAACATATTACTTATATTTATATTATAAAACCTACTTTACACGACGATCTGTAATTCACGACAGAATTTGAAACAGAATTCTGTTTATAATTTTATGTATCAAATTATAGATAGTTGAGATTGGATTGGAATTTGACTATAATCAGAACAAAGTTCACTAAACTTGATATTGGTTTTCTTTGTTCCGAATGGGTAAATTTCGATCTTGATCTCTAATCTGATATAGACATTAACTACTTACTACAACATTATGATGGTATCTTTTAATTGCAGACGACACAAATCACGGATCTCTAGAAGCCGACATAGTAATTCTTGTGGCTGTAAGTCAGATATGAGGATTATATCCTTGTGGTTAGCAGCTGTATTGATCATGTTCTGGTTGATCGCTTTATCCTGGTTAGCGACTATACTGTACAGCGAGATTAAGAAAATGGATATGTCTATAAAATCAGGTAAAAATATCATTTTCGTTTGCTTAAGAAGTATGATTTCTTTATCTTTTGGTAAGTAGCAATTGGCTCAGAATTAAAGTAGGAAAGGTTCTAATTAAATCTATTTGTATCTGCTGGTATGTGTATGTAACGTTTCATTATTTATTATAATCTCTCTTTCTCTCAGGGGAGATTGTAAACTTCAAGCACTGTTCCTAATAATTGAATAATTAAAATAAAATTTATGTATTTAAAAGATAATATAGTAGATAAAGACAAATGTCACAATTTGTGTACGTTTTAACAGTTGTAGACAAGCATTTTAATAACTTTATCACATAAATTAAGAATATCTTGATTCATTAAAATTATCTCATGTAAATCATTATGAATGTATGTATTATATATTTCTGTATTGTCTAAATATCTAATATAAATCTGATTAATGAAAAAATAAATTGCATTTATTGTATACACTAATTTAATGTTAACATTAAATACTCTTTATTATGATTTTCAAGTTTCAAGTAGTCTGTAACTATTTTCTGCATACATTTCCTTACTACTAGAATTCATTATTACTGCTTTTTCACATTCAGAAGAAAATTTGTTCATTTGACTGTATGTATTTAAGTCAAACATTTGTTCATTTGAATGTATGTATTTAAGTCAAACATATTATTTGATTTAAATACGTATATTCTTCAACGAAAGAAATAATGACAATTAAATTAATTTAATCAAATGATCAATTTTTGTTCTCTCAGTGCAATTATGTACCATTTTTTAAATGTATAATTCACAGTCACTATTCGTGTTTTTTTCACTATCCCGAATGAAATCCTAGAATATATATTTCACACATGGTCGTGATAAAAATAATCAAATTCAATTCATTGTCTTATCAAATTGGCGCTCGATGTCGCTTGGCGTTGCCGTTCAAAATTCCCTATATGCAGTACGGTTTTTATCAGGGAAACCCCTCCAGCGAGACTTCAGTCGCCCACCAACCCTCAACGAGTCGATATATCGGACGACGGCGCAGCTGGCGAGAGAGTGCCGCGTCGCGACGCCGCGCGTCGTTTCGCGATATTACCGGTGTTTTGTCGACGTGAGTGTGTCGTCCAGGACTCCGTTGTGTTTCTTCGCAATTCGCAGATCGTTCCTTAAGAATTCTTGCCTGAGAAAAACGAGACGACGTCGCCATCGCCGCTTGTGCCGTCCGCCCGTTTCCGTCCGCCGCGCGGTAATCGATTAAGAATCGCTTCTATAATTCATCCCTCTCGTAGGTCAAGTTCTGCGTGTTCTGTGTGAGAGCTTGCTATCCAATATTCATTCTTCCTGTTCCTCTTCTTACTCCTCTGCCTCGTCTTCATCTTGTTCGAACTTTATATCCTCGTTCGATTATTAAATATGGACCTCGAACGCGGTAAATGCTAGGAAGGTATTATAGGTTTCGGAAATCGAATGTGGAGCGATCGAGAGAGAGAGAGAGAGAGAGAGAGAGAGAGAGAGAGGATATTTAACCATGAATAAATTAATAGGGAATATTAACGAGGGATTAATAAAAGGTACATTACTTCTCTGATTTTTAATTTTTTACCTATGAGATATTTAATCCATTATTAATGTAAAATGTTAATCCTCATATTTAATAATATTTTATATATTTGAGAAAAGATTTTAATCTAGATTTTAAAAAATATTAATCCTTAGCAGTTTTATTAAATATAAAATTATTAAATGTAACTATTAATATATCTCACGTTAATAATGGATTAAATATCTCGTAGTTAAAAAATTAAAAACACGAATGCATACAAAATAAATATAGAAATTGGAACAAAAAAACGATCGCAAAAATATTTTTTATATTTGAATGAGATTAATGTAGAAGATTAATTTCTTCAGCAATGAAAGAAGAAGAGGAAATTAAAGGTTGAAAGCAAATAAAATAAAATAGAAGTGATAAATTAGATAATGTTGAAAGAGCGAGCGAGATAAAATTGATTTGCATGCCGCGAGGAGCATATACGAGGAGCGTAAAATCGTCCCTGGCATTTACATAGATTTACATTTAAAAGATTAGTCTCTATGAGAGCATACGAGAGGTAGTTTCCAACTTTCGTTATTAACTTATTTGTCATAGAATCGCACGATCACATAACATTTGGCGCTGATCATGAGAAAATTAGTTTGTAGTTTTTTTCTTTTTTCTCGACTGATTTTTATTTATTCATGTGAGAAGAGATGCTTTTCCTGATTAAAGCGGAAAAAGAGGCGTGCCGTTGGCACGAGCTTACACGTTTATAGTGTTGCGATCGTGACTCTACCTCCCTTATTGACGCAAATGCAATGAATATTTAAGCAGACACGCGTGTGCGGAAACCCCGGCATTGAGTCGATACTTACTTCCGCGATATCGCGTTTTCTCTTTCTTCAGAATTTAACAAACGTAGTGTATTGTTAAGTAAGTAAGAAGAAGCCAACTACAATCAAAGTTAAATGTTGGCATAATAATTTTATACATTGAAAAAATAACGTACTAAATTTTAATAAATATTTATTTAAATTGTGTTAACTAAACTTTATTTACAATAAATAAATATTTACTCAAAAAAAATTATTATTAAATCGAATTTATGGTTCTTTTTTAATTGGTTGTATCAGTCAATTTTTGGTTGTGTTAGCCTATCGAAATCCTATACTGACATTGCGGATAGGCTAACGCAACCAAAAATTTGCTGCAGCCAATTAAAAATGCTATGCCATATTTTACCATCTAATTTGCTGCAGCAGCCAATCTTTTTTTCAGTGTACAAACGATTTATTAAAATTTAGAATTTTTTTAGTGTATGTAATTTATTTTAAATACATTTACTTCAGATATATGCAGATTGCGCGTGTAATGTATTGTATCAACTGCTTTGTTTTCGTTTATTATTTCATTTAGTAATTGATTCGTATTTTTTATTTATCCCTGAATTGAATATATTTGAATTATCAATATATACTTTTGAATACCGAATGTACTTTCATAAGATAGTCGACTACCTATGCTCGGAAAGAATAATTCTAATAAAGTATCTAAAAATTTAGCTAGATACAAATCTGAAAATAATTTTGTTGGATATTAAAATAATTATATAAAGGACGCTCAAGCATATATATAATGGGCAATGTTGCAAAAATTTAGACATTCCAGCAACCAGTTTGTGCGTCCTACATAATTATTTTGATAGTCTAAAATAATAAAATTATTTTAGATTTGTGTCTAATTAATTTTTAGATACTTTATTAGAACGGCAAATACACCGTACATTTCGTGTAGACTTTTAAAATGCGAGTAATCTGCAGAGTGTATGTAAGAGATACCGATGATGAAAGGCTTGATGCTTCATGCAGTATTAAATGTTAATTAATCGACGGAATTAGTCATACAGCTGTTACGTACGAAAGTTCTGTGTATATCAGCGCGAGGACTGACGACTAAGCAACATCCACTTAATTAGCAAGGTATTTAACGTTTGTCATTAGCATTGCCGATATACGCAGTTAGTTGCTTCCTTTCCTTCGTCCTCGTTGTGCGTTATCGCAACTTCTTCGTGAAACATACAATTCAAGCGACACGCAACGTCGTGCACAAAACGAGGATTTGAAGATACATGACTCTGCAAAAAATGCGTCCACGATAGCGTAATGCAATCACGCGGTTTAATTAGATATCAATGAAAAGAGGATTTCAGCCGTGGCGATTAAGCGGAATCGATTATTACTGTGATCGAGTCGTCGATTACTTATCGTTAATTCATTATGCATGCAAAATCGCACTTGTTTGATCGTCGACTCGCGGGATGTGCATACTCGACAGATTTTGTCTTTTAGTATTTATCGTAAATTCGCCGAAATTTCAAAGGCTTGAAGTTTCAGTGCATTAAAATTTTGTACGTTCATACAACTATAAAATTCCAAGACTTTTCAATTCTGCTTTGCAACGGTTTCTCCCTCGACCTTGCTCTTTTTTATCTTCCTTCTTGGATCTCCCTATCCTTAACAATTCAATGAAAAGCTGTGATATTTTTTTAGCCTGAAAAATTTACTTTATCGGAAGTCTTATAAGAGTTTATTTCATAGATAATGTAATAGTAGGTGAATAATATATAATATATGGTTACTTTGAAACTAGCAATATTTAAATGTGAACGACAAAATTGACTTTTTTCCTCACACATCGATATCTTATCGAGTTCAGGGCCGCGGGCAAGTAATTGTGTCGCGACGTATTTCCATCCAGACGACCGACCCATGTCATATTGAATTAATGTCGCACCCGAAACCCTTTAAATTGAATTTTAAATCGCGTTAAAATAAGAACGGACATTCAAGAGGCCCTAGAAGAATTTTTGAACATTGAATTTTCGCTGCTTCGTTTTAGCTATAATAATTTCATCACTCAACTACATAATAATAATATCAAATGAGTTGTCAATAGGTTAAATGTCATGATAATATTATTGTCACGCCGATTTTACGTGGTTAAGTAATCCATTCAGTTGAAACAAAAAGACAAAAAGTCCAATACGACTGACATTCGTACTTGTACATTTTGTTCGCAAGAAGACTATCAGTAGTAAGACTGGTAAGGTTGGTGCTTTACTTTGAACTGAAGGTTTCAACATTCGAACATCGAACTTCGAAGTTTCGACATTAAAAATCGAAGAATCAAAATTATGTACTTATTAATTTAATATATCTAATAATAACGCATATATTTTTATAAATTTACAAATTATTTTCATTTTTTTTCTACAAATAAATTTTTTGAAGCTTCGTAGTTAATTTCGAATTTCGAAGTTAATATAGAAGAAAAATAACTCTAATATAGTTAATCACGGATTAACTCCTCTCTCTCTCTCTCTCTCTCTCTCTCTCTCATTTAATCGATTTCATTATCTAAAATTAATTTCGACACTGTATATTCCGTTTTTCTTCGATCCGTTTTGGACGATTATGTTTAAAACAGAAAACGAGATCAATGATTCCAACTCTTCACTCGCGAAGCGAAGTGTTAACTTTTCTATTATCAAATTACCATAACTAGGATCAACAATTAAATTCCGTTTGCAAAATATCTATGTGTTGTATCAGATTCTTACGAGCGTGACGGCCAAACATTTAAAGCACATCTCGCGTTCGTTATCGCATTTATCAAATAATTCTACCGCAGTATAAATATAAAGAGAACCTTGGAAAGATTAACGTTACGACAACGATTGCTCTTATCAAAGCCAGCTCTTTGCCTTTTTCTTGCTGTTGAGCAATTTTGATGCGGTCGTTCTTTCATTTAAGATGTAATAGTCACTGTGCATCGTTGCGTGTCATGTGTGTTCAATTCAGATTCAGCTTTTCGATCGGTATATATGTGTACATACATACGTGTGCGAATACAAAGGTGATCAGGTACCGGCCGGCTGATAAGAGCTTCTTGCCTCAGTGACGAACGCGTCGTTGTGACGTTCGGTACGTAAAGTTCGTCCACTTAGTTTCTTGAATTCTGAAGCCTAATCTCCTGATTTTCATGACGCAATCACGTGTAGGATTATTTTTTTCTCCGCTTATAAAATTCGTCTCTCGCCGAGATTATACTTCACTTTCTATATTTCAATTCCTCTCCTGTATTTATGAAATTGTGATATAAGAACGTGTCTGGTTGTGCAGTTGGTTTGTTTGCATTGTTTGTAATATATCGTTTATCATGTGCTACGATTATCGCTTCATTGCGATAACAGACTCCTAATTAAACTTTAATCAAGAGTTTTAAATCTGGCTCTTCAGATATACAACTATCGCGAACGTGATATAATGAAATAATAATAGATATTTGCTGGACATTTTTATTTAATAAATTATTTAATAAAAAGATCGACGTCTGAACTAAAAATGTCGGCGAGATGAAAAGATAGTGCTATTGAAGGGTTATTGAGAAACGTTGATTAAAATTATAATATTATTATACAATTTTTCACCAAGAGTTTTCATTCTTATATATATATACTTTTGCCTAATATCACATTAAAATGTAATTTATAATCCTATTTTTATCTAACAATTTGCTTAATAGAGCGTTTAATTTAAAATTAATTTCTTTGTCAAAGAAAATTGCTTGAGAAATCTTAGCACTTACATTGATATGCGTTAATGTGCTTTATATCAGTTGTTTTTAACTAAGATATTTGTGTTAATCAGTTTTAAATTACTTATTATTAGTATTGTAAAATTTTGCTTTGACGCTGATACCAGCAATAATTTTGGTCGCGATATCGTTCAATTATTACACATTTTGTAATACAGTCACTTATCCGTGAAATATAATTAATTTTAGAAGCAGTGATCAGTTAACGGATATGCATAGATGTACGAGATACATTTAATATTTGGACGAGAATTGCGAATTAATTAAAGTGCATCGGCTCTCTGAATGACTGCGAGCCCCGAAAGCACAGCGAGAAAGCGATATTTATTAAATTAAATTTTCGATATTTTCGCAGACGAAGATGTAGACTGAAGCGAAGATTTTTGTGTCGATTAATTCCAAGCAGTCGCATCGTTTGAGCTCGTTTAGTAATCGAGAAATTGCGCAAATTTTGGCGGTCAAGCAGTGTTGTTAGCTAATAATTAAGAAATGATCACGGAACGATTCTCCAAACTCACGGCGATCGTGCAGTGTCTATCGAGAAACGTTGAAAGTGAAGTGTGTTAATCGGGAATTCGTCAAGGATATCCTAAAAAATAGGCGGCGCGGTTTTGCTTGAGATGGACTCGGTGGCGGTGACGGTGCCGCTTCGTCAGCCGACGAAGAAGATGAAGAAGAGGAAGGAACTCGATGCCCTCGCACCGGCGCACGCTATCTCTCGCCGGAGTTCCGGGAAACGCAGCTCGCAGGTGAGTAAAATAATTACAAGGGATGTTCGGAAAAAATAAAGATACAAAAGGCCTTAAATTTATTTAAAAATATCTGTTTACAAATCTTCACGGAAAGAACGGTTTTGTTGAAATATCTAAAATTTTAGCTAGATACAAATCTGAAAATAATTTTGTTAGACCATCAAATTAATTATGTAGGATACTCAAACGGGTTGCTATATAATGTTAAAACTTTTTACAGTATTACTCATGCTTCAGTTTTCTACGTAATTATTTTGATAGTCTAATAAAATTATTTTCAGGTTTGTACCTATTCAAATTTTTAGATATTTCAGCAAAATTGTTTTTTCCGTGTTTCAGTGAGATTATTTATATACATATATTATATTTTTCTTTTTCGACGTAGTGATCGCCATAGTTGTTCAAAACACTCATTAACTATGGAAATATCAATTTTTGTATTTCCGCGTCTCAAAGATCTGCCGCCAGTCTTTTGAATCGTGTCGGTTGAACCTCTTCTTCCATCTCAACGTCGTCAAACTTTTTCCCAGTCAGAAGAAAATCCAAAACATGGGTCACCGTGAACATCAATGAACGTCAGACCTGCCGAGAATTTACGGCATCATTTCATGACATTTTGTCATAAACATATTGAGTCACAAGCATATTGTCACTATAAAAAACCATGATTTATCTAATTTCCATTGAATGCCCGGTCTTAAGGAGGTTGTAAGGCAAATGCAATATGTTAAGAATTATTTGAAAAAATTACAGATTATTCTAAATTGCACTTAAAAATAATACAAAAAAAATTAGAGACAGTTGACCATCTGGATCAAAAGTTATTTCAATAAATAGTATTATTTTTTAAATTTGTACTCTAATAGAAATATATAAAAATGTATTATAAAATAACGATAAAAGTCTCAATTTTTTTATATAAGTACTTTATGAATTCAAAAATATTAATATATGTGTTTTTTTTTATGCCCTTACAACTTCCTTAAGAAATATTTAGCCGGGAAGAAGTTTGACAATGATATGAGATGAAAGAAGAGATATCATGACGTTGGTTCAAAGGGCTGGCAGACTGAGACTTCTATAATGTAGGAATACAAAAGTAGATTTCCAGACTTAATAAGAGTTTGAAAAATGGCGGTAACTATATCGAAAAATAAAGATGTATGTGTGTCAATAATTCTCAGTGAAAGATTTGTAAATAGTGTGTTTAGAAAGTAAACATACAAATATCTTAAATTAAAAAATTTAAGGCGTGTTTAGAAAGTAAAGAAGGAGTGTTTAGAAAGTAAAGTATAAATTTAAAAATTTGTATTTTTACTAAACACTTTTTTCTAAACACTTCTTCGCAAATTCGGTGTCGATTTTTTCTTCGCAAAAAATAACGTCGAGGCGGTTCTCGAGGCGAACAATGAAAAATAAATGATAGATGAAGTAAGATTCTCCCCAAATATGTAATGTATAGATAATGAAAGATACATTTGGCACCAGCGTAGATTTTACACCAAAGACGCGAAAACAAATTATCTTCTCGAAATCATTTGTGTCAATGTTTGCACTGTTCCCCGAAAATGAGATAAAAGTGTGAATCAAAACATGAATACTGACAGATTCGTCGATTGAAAAATATTCCGCTAATGTGCTTGAAAATCTAAAACAAAAATCAGTGTGAAGAAGGAAGATAAGAAATAATATCTGAGTTATAAAAAGAAATGATGACTGTAATATAAACGAAGATTATGTTATTATTTTTTCAATGAATAATAGGAAATACATTTGTTTCTCTTACATTTTTATAGGAATTGTTGACGGACAGCAGCGACGATCGTTCGGAATATTGGAATGTCTCCACCAGAAACGGACGCAAGTGTAGAGGCAGAAGGGGACGTGTTTGTCCCGGGTTCCTTAAGGCTTGTAACGCTTTTTTGGCATGTGCCTCTGTATTAGCGACCGCCAGTCTGATATGGCTATTCATCGACGTTCGTCAACAGCTTACCGCTCTGCGAACCGAGTTAGACCAAGGTATTGGTCTATCATCTGCAAAGTCCAGCATTAAGCGGTTAAATCAAGTTAATAATTAGAGAAAAAGATATTTATGTCTAACTCGAATTAATATACAATATAATTGTTTTTATATCTAAATATCTAATGTACATTGAGACCAAAAAATTATTAAATCTTAGGGTAGAGCTATTCCGTCAGTTTCAATCTTAAAATAATATAAAATTTACGGCAACTTTTTGAAGTAACGTGCTTAATAACTACCTTATACGATCATGATTGTTTCTTGAAAGCACAAGTATGATGTTTAAATATTCAGCTGTAGTAAGTATACGCTGTTCAGAAACATAAACACTATCATGAGAAATGGATGAAAAAGCTTCTAATAGATACATTTTTCATAAATAATTAAACATTTATTTACAATAAATAAGTATTTATTTAATAAAAAAATAATAGTTAAAGTAATAAATGTTTACATTTAGGAAATTTAGTTAGTACTTCCAATAAATATTTTATTAAAATTTAGTACATTTTTTCAATGCACGAAAAATCGATTTCTGTAAATATTTTTAATTAGAACCTTTCAGAACTTAGAGTCGTTATGATATCACACAATTCTACTTTTTTGCACTTTTGTGCTTAATCTCTTTTACATTACAGTGATAGCGGGCAGCGAGGGTGTTCCGGATGCTTTACAGAAATGCCACTCGTTGTCGAGAGATCTCCAGAATAATCAAACAATAATTTTCTCCAGACTATCCGATCTTAAACAGCAGATAAATAATTTTACGGTACAGGTAAAACCGCACAAGTAACATCGATAATTCGGTTGCGACCGGTTACTGACCGGAATGACTCACACCCTTCCGGATCGATACTTTAGCAGGACTTACATAAAATACAGGAGTACTTTCAAGCCGCGCCCGAGATGGCCAATTTGCCGAAACGCTTGGATGAGTTGTCAACTAGCGTTGCAACATTTGGTAGTCAAATAAGGGATCTCGGGGCCACAGTGAATACCCTAAAAGAGACGAACATGAGGGTACAGGATGCACAGACCACTATGCAACAAAACATTAGCAGTATTAAGGTAAATACGATCAATATTGAAGCGGAAATGAAAATAGTAGAAATAAAATTAATTTGTTCAACGTTCATCACCGTGTTTTTGTAGCACACCATGTTAGAATTGTCGAACACTACTCAAAAGCCTCAAATACTGAGCACTGACGAAACGCAAGTTAAGACTGACAAACTAAACATCACGATATCTCATTTAATGAATAATTTAACGCATGTTAATGAGACCCTGTCGAGCAAATTACAATGGGTCGCCGATGATCAAGGCAAGGATCGCGTAAGTATCATGTGATTTTATAATAAATACATATTTGGAATATCAGATTGTTACATCTCATTTTTTATCGTTGCAGAAAAAATTAGTTTCACTTCAAGAAGCAACGGCGGCCATTAACACAACAATGATGTCTTTGCAAGGGGAGTGCGTTAAAATGTCTGAGCAGGTTTCCGTTCTAGCATCGATTCAGCAATTAACAAAAAAGGTGCACATCAATATAGGATTCTATTGATCGGCATTTTGCTAATCGTCAATATTTCTAATTAATACAGATGAACGAGGTACGCACAACCGACGTGGAATTAATTGGCAAGTTAAAACAATTGGAACAATCGTATAACGGACTGAAGAACTTTACCAACATAATATTCACAACTGTATCTGAGATGCAGAATCAGCAACAGATCAATAAGATCAAGTTACCGGAACCGTTAAGTGGTGATGTGACAACGGAAATGGATCGCGGTGCGACAGGTAAAGTCTCATGTAAGATCTCTCGTGTAAAGTTTCTATTTGTAAATTCGTAACCATGCCGTCTCACTTGCAGATGTAAGTGATATTGCTCAGAGAAAGAATGACAAGTCGCAAATATGGCGGAAGCGCAATTTCATCAGCGAGCAGTAAACGAACCTAGAAAAAACTCGCGCTTGAAAAGAGACTTTCACATGGATAAAAATCGCAATCTAAGAAGCTGTGTATTTGTAAATATTAATGAATTAAGTACACGTTATACATGTACATAGAAAGATACTATTTATGATACCGCATGGGTATCCAGTGGAACAATAATCCACCGTGATCTTCAATTGATCTGCAATTGCATTGAGAAGAGGAGACTATCGTGAGCGTGCCGTGGCCTGAATGAAGCTACTTACATCGAACAATAACTCGAAGCGTATTAACATTATTGTTAGCGAGACGAACGTTCTGTATTCGACCTAGATTAGATACGTCAATTCTTAATAACACTAAACGCGATGTAGCGAGAAAGATAGTTCAGAAATACTATGGAAAGTACAAAGTCGACAGCCGCCTGGAAAACGAATTCTCGGTTGTAATGTTTAGGAAAATGTTTATATTTAAGTAACGGCAGCGTATACCGAAAGTTTTCTACTCTTCTACATTTTGTAGCGTGATACGCTATTGTACATTTCTCCGAGTTTTTCAGCGTGAAATAATAGAGTTCTTTAGATCGTAGAGAAAACTATATATAAATACAGGATGTCTATGTAAATACAATACAATATTATGTAACGAATAACAAACAGTGTGATAAAATGATAGAAAAGTAACTACACATTCTAATTGTAAAATTAAATAAGTTTGGTTTGCACGGTTGACAAACCAATTCATTGGCGATATATGTTTCCGACTTTCAGTTTAGCGACACATGCACCGTACAGTTGAATGTACAGTTAAATGGGATGGTAAAACATGTTAGTCTTTCTGCGGCAAATAATTTTCACCGTTGCAGATAGTATTGTAGTAGCTTGATCAAATTTTTTTAACAAAAAACGAGCATTATTTTTATATGTATCTAGGATGACGAAAAGGTATAAACCGAAGTGAGCTTTCCGAAACTTGTTGCGTCTCGGCTCTTTGGTACACGCGAATGAATTGTTTTTCAGCGAATCTTTACGTAACTATAGGCAGTGAATGTACAGAGAATTAAACAGTATTCGCATGTAATTATTTCGCATACGGTTATATAGAAAAATCTAGACGAATGTGTTCCAATATCTCTCAATAGCATATGAGAAGTTACTGAAGACCAATTTTTTGAAATATAGTTTTGACTATGTGCATTCATTTGTGAATTAGGAAGATAATTACGTGTGAGTACGTGACATAAATCCGGCTACAACAATACCGAAGTGAATTAATAAAAAAAAAAGAAAGAAGGTTTTTGGTGAAGTTAATATTATTTCTTGATGTATCCTTAGTATTGTCGAACATGCGAGTCTGATAAGCCATCATTTATTGTTTAATGAAACTCTGAAATGCTAAGTCAAGCGGAAGGAAGTTGACCGTAATTTTTATATAAAGGACTCTGTACTAAATATATATATATATACATATATATATAAAATTAAGTCTCGATGAAATAAGTTAGCTTTTATATATAATATAGCTTATAATGTGATAAACAGAAGATATAGACATAATGTTGAATAATGAATAGTTTTTGTTATAGTGTATCAATGGTATAAAACTTGTGCTCGCACAGCATCTTTAATACACTATACACATTTTCCAGCAAAAAACACAGATAAAAAATACAGTGTAAGAGAGTGAATCATTACATCCTTGTTGTTTTTCAATGTTAAAGTTGAAGTAACTCTATGTTATACCGTATCTCTCTTGTTGGAAAGCATCATTTAGCTTAGAAACTATTCATGTTTGAGTCTATATACCGGTATTCGTAATCAGTTTTTACATTTGAAACTATCTTAAATACAGTCTTAAAATGTCATAAGTTAATCACAGAGTCGTATTAGCACACACCTCTTAAGATATTACTTAAGATGATCTTGAAATAAGAACCAACTATGAATATCTATGATATTTTTTGTTAGTTACGTTATACATATTATAGTTTACATTATATGTGAAAACTAATTCATTTTCAGGACCCAATTTTCTATGTAATTAATGCAAGTCTTTTATTTCGCGAATGTTCAATATTCGCGAAATTCCATACTCCTGTCCCCTATCAATTTTCTATTTCTTTAAACAACATCGATTTAGGAATCAAATATGTAATCTCAACATTTTCTTTTTGTTCGAGGATAGATGTGAATTTTCTTCCTCGTTGATTCGCGTTTCTCCAAGGAACGCAACTTTCTCGACGTCCTCGTGGCTCCTAAGCTCACATCTCGATATGCCCCGCTCGCATGCTGCTGAGTCTCGCGCGATTGGTCGGACCTCGTAATTCTGTACGGTGCATCTGGTGCAGCAGATGCGACGCGTCCCCATAGTCCAAGCATCTCGTCTCTCACTAGCGGACGATTCGGTCGCGACTGGATTCTTCTGATCGCGTAGTCGATGATATCGCCGTTGACTGTGTAATTTGGCGAAAATTTGGCGCCCGGATACCAGAGTGCTTACAAGTAAGTACGAGATTACGTTCAGCTAACGTTGATACCCATTTTATCACATTTTATTGTAATTTTATTCGATGCTGAATGCGAACATCTTACTTCTTTCTTGTTGATTTAATTTTACGTAAGTCGCTCATACGTTTTTATAATTTTATGCAACGCCAAATTTATGTATTTAAACGTAATTCTGAATAAAAAATTCTTTAATGTATGTCTGATTTCTGCTGGTCGTTTCTAGCGATAAATCGACTTTTACTCGTATATCTCACGCGGGCGTTAGCAGTCGCTTTGTTTCGATCGTATACTACGCATTACTATTGTTCGGGAAGTCGAGCTTGAAGGTCATGTCATTGGATAAAGGAAGATAAAATGTCTGAGCCATCCATCGATAGAATTTTTTCCGAATTCGCAAGTGATTGTTCTTTTCATTTCACTTGAAAGTCAGCGTTCTTATCGTATCTTGAATATCTTGATACTGCATGATGACAAAAATCACGAGTTTCTGAAATGAGTCATCAGTTAGTTGACACATATCATCGTTATTACCACGATTTGTTGTGTGAAATTAGTATCGCGTCTTTATGCGGGCCGAAGTGAATCAAAACGAGACGAAATCCGGGAAGGGGATTATCGTTGTAGAAAATACGGCGCGTTTAGACGTAAACAAAGCGTTCGCTCGATCACTGACCCCGCTCGATCGCGCGCTTCCGATAGCCCCGAGCGATCGATTGGTAGTACGCGATTTTATTACACGATTGAGACTTCATTCGCTAATTCTAATAATAGTTATTCGATCGAATTATTCCGTCTTGGTGTACGGTATGCATTTTGATTTTTACATACATATGTGTTTCGTCATTCTAACTCTCCTTAGTTTATCTCTGTTTCCTGTCCGGAGATCGCTTTTATTCATATGGAAAGGGAAAAGGGTTGCTGCAGCCTGTATTTATCTCGCCCACGTTCCTCATACTTTCAAAAATCATTCTCTTTGCTTTCTGAAGCGTGAATTAAGAATTAATTAGTAACTTATTATCGAACTAAGAATATGTCTTAATAACGTTTTTTTTTATTTTATAATGGTAAATAAATATATGAATATATATTAATATTATATACATATATCTGTTTATTATACGCGTGCGTGCGTGCGTGCGTGCGTG